TGAGAGGGCACAATGAATAATCGGTCAGAACAACGAGGATCCGGAAAAAGAAATTGACATCACGCCCGAAGTAGGAGGTGTAGCAACAACAAAGAATCCCGTTCACAGCTTGAAGCCCGTTGTCATCGACCGTGGGCGATACTGATCACGACAAGAATTCGTTGTCTGTCCCAGAAATAGATGTTTTATTTATGCCCTGTCCTCATCCATCTCAGTGCGTCATCCCTATAGAATCCCATCCGCTCCTCCCAAGTTTGCTGCAGGCTGCTCCTGATTACCAAGAGCGGGATAATCATCAACGCCTCCATATCAAGGACCGAGGGGCGATGCCCCCGATCAGTCTCATCAGTTATGTTGCCGCGCCTAGATTTCGCCAGTCAATCGCCCACACATCAACGCCCTGCCCTCCTCAACCCAACTGGATTGCTAACAAATAGTCATTGTCAGTCGAAACCGGTGGTGGCCAGGGACCTCTCAGGTCCCAGCAGCGTGCCCCACTAGCGCCCCGACGCTCGACCCTGCAACACCATAGCCTCTCCGACGTCAAGTTTTAGCAACAAAGGTCAACAAATATTGTCAACCCTAAAGTGAGCCCCCAGCGCCTAGATGCAGCCAGGAGCGTCACGTTAGCGCTGCGTGACACTCGCTAGTGGGACCTCGAGACAGAAGGCAGTGAAAGGGCTCTCTTATTCTTTTCTTTTTCCTTTTCTTTTCTTTTATTTTTTTTCCCGTCTTTCTTTCTTGTTGGCTCTCCTCTTGTTGTTGAGGTTTTTGTTTTTGTTTTTGGGAAAAAAGTAGGGACTCCTTTATTCGAAGTATATAACTCTAAGGCTGGGAACCAAGTCCCACTTGCGCAGATCCTTAATTTCCGACCATTGATGTGCATAATCTACGGTCAGAAATGCAGAATTCAGGCAAGTGGGACTTGGCCCCGGGAATCCTCAACAAACAACCCCGGTTGTGATCAAGGCACAGGAAAGAATCCAGCTTCAGGGCATTGTTAGACACTCCTTTTCAAATCAATCTGTCCATCAAACACATCAGGCAACCATCACAACTGCCCCCACCTCCTTCCTCGCTTCTTCAGATTTTTCGCCTCTGCAGTCAGCCACTAATAGAACAGAAGAGCCTTCTCCCATAATAAAGGTCAAGGCAACCACTGCATCAGAAGTGCAGGATTTGATAATGCATGAAGGAAATGAGGTAAACGAAGTTAATGACGCTGAAATACTAACGGAGGACGAGAGGATGCATGAAGCATCACAACCTACTCAATCTGCACCGAAGGGTAATACAGCACAGAAGACAGTACCACAAGCAGCTCAACAACCCTCATGAGCGCACAAGGTAAGAGAATCTATGCAGGATAAAACACTGACCATCCAGCGACCATCGATAGACCCAGTGGGAACTCCAGCAGAGGAACTGAAAGTCCCTCTCAGGAATTTGTCTTCTGCAAGGGCTAACTTTCTTTCTCTATTCCTCCTCCCATCGGAACAATTGGTAATAGACCAAGGGGGGGGGAAACACACCAATGAAAGCATATCCGCCGGATAAATTGCCTCAACGAGACCTGGTTTACACCAAACATGCATCTAATTGGATTTTTTATGACGATGCGGCGTACCGATCGGTCAACGACAAGATTAAATTCATTTGCAAGAGACTTGAATCGCTGAGGGAAGGGCCGAAAGGGGTTACTGAATTTTTCTTAATTCAACCTATTACTCCTACGGTGTTCACGATTTTGAGCCTGTTCGACAAGGATAAGGTAAGAATGGATGCTTGGAAAAAGTTGTTTTGGGATCGTTCCGAAGTTAGAATTAATCCCTGGTTACCTAAGAAAATTGGTCCAGAGGAAATGAGGGAACAAATGATAAGGGATTATTACTGGGTCGAGTTAAGGCACATCCCAATTGAAATTCAGGCTGCATTCATTCATTGTTTCGGCCAACAATACCGGATAGTGAATTTCATTAATCCGCTGCCCTCCTACGTCGCCAAGAGGGATGATTACTTGATGTTAGCCCTTGATCTCCCTAAGGATCAAGTTTTCTCCCTCTATTTACGTGGCACCCTGAGCCGCGGATCCTGTGGCCCAGTCCGAGCCGCACAGACTAGGCCGCGCGGCCGCGCCACTGCCCAGTGGGGGCACTCGCGAGAAATCGGTGCGTGCGTGCGGGCGGCGCATGTCATCCCTTACAAGACTGCGCCAAAAAAAATAAAATTTTCTTTTTTTGGGGGGGGGGTGTTTGTCATGACTAACTAAAATAATAAAAAAAATCTACGTTACCAGCTGTCCGATTGGGAGACGTCTCCCCCGGACGTCTCCGGGAAACGGTCGAGGGGGAGTTGTCCGGAAAATCGGACAACAGTTTTTTTAACATAAAAAAAAAAAAAAAAAAAAAG